CCACATTCCATATAAAGAAAATAAAAAAAGAATGATGATAAAACATTGTGTCTAAAGAAACCGACAAACCAAGCAAATCCCTTGTGGGCAGCATTGTAATTAGTAATGAATGTGGCTAATTAAACAAAATCTTACATATGAAGTGATATGAAGGGAAAGCAATGATGTTGATTAAAACTGATTGACATCCAACCCATCATACGTTTTTGTGATGCCACAATAACCACAGGGTTTTAATATTTGTGGCCACTACACAGATTTCAAACTAGGAAACAGAGAATGTTGCACCTCTTTAAATGGACACACCAGACCCCTAAAGCACTTTAGCTTGTTGAAATGCTTTATGTATGATGAGTGCATCCTTTTCCCCCCATTTTGTAAAAAGTAGACATTTCAATAGAAGTTGATAGATTCACCTTGTGACACCCCCATATCTGTCAATCATGCAACCGGTCCTGTTACTCCCTGGTTGTTTAGCTCAGAGGATCTAAACTTAAAAGGTAGCAATTGCCCAGAGCACATGTCTTGCAAAGACTTCTCATTGCGCTGCATTGGGAAACCTGTGATTGGTCAACCACAGAAAGTATGGGCTGGTGAAGAATGGGAGGGCTTGCAAAGGCTGCAGACAAGATAGCTGCAGCTTTTGTAAGCAGTTTTCATATATAACACAAAGGAAAAAAAACCATGCATGTTTTCATTGGGGTATTTTTACTAAATAGTGATTTTTTTTTCTATTTGGATTTAGGCAGGGGAGAGTCCATTTATTAGTCAGTGAATGAACCCCTTTGTGTGCGGTCTAATCAATTTTTCAGCATACAGCAAAATCAAGGGTTATTTGCATTACTGTGTACTAGGAGGTGCTTGGCAACTCATTCTTAGTAGGACTTTGCCTTGTCAGATAAAGGTATTGCTACAGGAAGATGGTTGACCAGATCACTGGAAAAATTCTTACAATGTTTCCTAAGATCACACAAGGAATTGAAAGAATCTAAGCCATGAAAACATACCAAAATCTTATCCTGAGAGATATAAACATACAATTGTTAACTAAATATCTCCATTGACTCTGTGTTCCCATTGTGCGTCGTACTTTGAAGCATACAATACAGTCTATCAGCAGCCTTGAAATTAGTAACCATTTGGATGTTTCTCATCTAATTAAAATCTTCATAGACACAGTAATTAAGAAATATTATAGACACATTTTCACCTCCACCTTTGAGGTGTTAACTTTTTTAAATGCCAAAGACTGACAGTAGGCAAAACAGAGTTCATATGAATGCGATGAATATTTGTCACAGGCTAAATGTGATTAGAGAAGTGAGAAATGAATACATTATGGTCATGAGAGCGTGAACCAATCATTTTACACTAGAAATACACAACACACTGTAAGGAGTAGATTTCACAAAATATAAATGGAATATGCCAAGGTAATGTGCTTCACATTACACCCACAATGCACAGTAATAACGCATTAAGGAAATCACCAGTGATGTTCGGCAGAAGTCCTATACCAGGAGTAGGCAACCTTTTAGTAGAACTGTGCCAAAAAAAAGATCTTGAAGTCCCTTGGTGTGCTGGCCAGTCCTTTATTTATTTTTATAAATTGAGGTGTGCGTGTTGCCGTATTGTGCTTGTGTTATTTATAGGTGCTGCAGTTGCTTTGTAGAGTTGTTTTTGCTTGTATGTGTGCTGTTAAATTGTATATGTTCATGAGTAGTTTGTGGCATTGTGTATGATTTCTAAGACTGTGGGCTGTGTATGGGTGCTGTTTGTGGAATTGTGTGTGGAGGATGTGTCATATTGTGTGTTTGGTGGTGTGTGTATTTGTGAGGCTGCTTGTGAAGTTGTGTGCATGTATGTAGATTGTCAGAAGTATTGTGTTGTGTGTGGACTGTTTGTATTATTAGGAGGAGGACTCTTCTTCTCCAGCTCTGCGTATATCTAGCAGCGTAGGTGACTTACCTTGAGTCCAGTGGGGACCAGGCTGGCCAGGTGCAGGTCAAAGGCAGGAGCAGCAGTAGCTGCTGCAGCCTGCTCTACTCTAGTGCAGATTCCCATTCACAGGTGCTGGAAGGAAGTGATGTGACATCACGTCCTCTAAGTGCTGCAATGCGTAAACTGAGGATTGTCCCTCACCACCTGCAATCACTGCTCAGTTTGCTCTAGCAGATATCTAAAGTCCTACTGGGACTGCTGACAGAGCAGAGCCTATTTGGCTCTGGCAACGTTGAGTGACATTCAAAGGTACCTTAAATGCCATGCATGGCACACGTACCATAGGTTGCTGACCCCTGGCCTATATGCTTTTAATAAGTATAGTAAGTCATTGCATACCATATAATGCTTAATATCATCCAATATAATATGAAGTTGATATGATTTTAATTTGTAAGGTTTCAATGAATTCTGTTGTCATAATTTTATGAGCAAGACAAATTCCTTGATGCTGTAGGCAAGTGATTAGCAACCAAAGAATATATGACAATAAATATGTAGCAATACCAAATTTTTAACGTTAATTATTCCTTGTATTCATGTACGCATTCTTTGGCATTCAGAAGATCGTTCCCAACATGCAACAGAGCCGGTTTCCAGAATGACTGCTTTTATTTTTTTAAGTTTAAGTCTTTGTAACATATTACTTTTTAATCTCCTGTAACATATAGTAAAAACAAAATGAAACATGTTATACACACACTATACCACTAAAAAGAACTCTTTTATAGAGATGCCAACAAATTATATAATGCAAATCTGTGCTCTATGGATTAATGAAAAGTGTCTTCCAGAAAAGTGTTTTATATTTTATGACATATAAACAGGAATCTGTACTGAAAAAAAAAAAACAAGGCACCATAGCCACTACAGCCCATTGCAGTGGACATGAAGCTTGTAGTGTTCCTTTAATTCCAATCTCTACACATCATTATTCAATCTTTAACCTTTTGCCCATGTACACCTGGTTCTGCTTTTGTTTTCGGTTTCAAAATTATTAAAAAAATATATATTTTTTTTATTTTATTAAAATTATTTCAATTATCCCTTAACAACTTGTCAGTAGAATTTATTCACTAAATTGTGGTGAAAGTTAAAAAAAAAAAAAGCAAAAAAAAAAAAGCCATAGTTAGACTAAAACAACCAAGCAGTTGCTATAGCTGAAATAGAGATTTTTGTTTTTAAATTGGTTTATTTGCCCTACATTTTTAAATTCAGTTTTCAATTAACTCCAGTTCAATATCTAGTGAACAGACCCTTGAGTGTGACGTAAGCATTATTCCAGAAGCTATCCTAGTGACCAATACACAGATCAGTATACAATAATGAGAGGGCTTAATTAAATTGGCAGTATTGTTTATCAGGCAGAACTCAGTTTTATAATTGGTTGACTATTTAGCATTAACCGGCTTGATATGGGGCAATAGACACATTACTGCACTTTTTGCTGGCAGCTACATATCCAACTGATACAGTCCAATACGAACTCAGCTGAACAGCAACACATGACATTTTACACCTTGACTTGATTTATTTAACAAAAATAAAACCAAAATGGAGAAACCAAAATGGAGAAGCCATGTTTGAAAAACTAAGTACACCCTTACTGCTTCCATAGGAATTAAGAGGCTGAGTGCAGACAGGTGCTGCTAATCAAATGCCTTTGATTAATTCATCATCAGCAAGTAAGATTTCTCTAGAAAATCTGAAGTTTTAGCAGTTTGCTGGTCTGGAGCATTTGTGTATGTGTTAACACAATGCCAATGATGAAAGACATCAGCAATGATCTTGGAGAAGCAATTGTTGATGCCATTTCCGAACAATTTAAAGTCCATCATTTAAAGATTACTCAAAAGTGGAAAACATTCCAGACATTTGCCAATCTTCACAGGAAGTGATGTCGCAACAAATTCATTGCAAGGTCAGACCATACAATGATCAGAGAATTAGCAAAAACAACCAAGAGTTACATCACAGACTCTACAAGCCTCAGTTAGCATGTTCAATGTTAAAGTTCATGACAGTACAAAATAAAAAACAAGGCTGAACAAGTATGGTGTGTTTGGAAGGGTTGCCAGGAGAAAGCTTTTCTCTAAAAAGAACATGGCAGCACGACTTAGGTTTGTAAAGTTGCATCTGAACAAACAGCAAGACTTCTGGAACAATGTCCTTTGGACAAATGAGACCAAAGGGGAGATGTCTGGCCGTAATGCACAGCACTACATTTGTCAAAAACCAAACACAGCAAATCAGCACAAATTGGGTCATACAAGAGGACAATGATCCCAAACACACCAGCAAATCTATCACAGAATGGCTGAAGAAGAAAAGAACCAAGGTGTTGCAATGGTCCAGTCAAAGTCCAGAACTCAACCCAATTCTCAACCTTCAGAGAGCTATGCATAAACAAATGCCAGCAAACCTTTAATGAACTGAAGAAACGATGTAAACAAGAATGGGCCAAAATTGCTCCACAACGATGTGAGAGACTGATATAGACATACAGAAAATTATTACTTTAAGTTATTACTGCTAAATGGGGTTTTACAAGCTAAATCATAAGGTGTACATAGCTTTTCACACAAGGCTTCTCCATTTTGGCTTTATTTTTGTAAAATAAATCATGACATGGTCTAATACATCATGTGTTGTTCGTCAGAGGTTGTATTTACCTACTATTAAGACCCGATAAGGAACATATGATTATTATCATGTACTTATGGGTAAAACCATTATACTCAGTGTGTACATTCTTTTTCCCATAACTGTAGCTTTTACATGAAAACTAATTGCTATTCATTTATACCAATCCAATATTTTTGCAACAATTTGGTGAATTAATAGATCTATAATTGGACCAAATTTGAATTCTACAGGTGCCAACGAGCAGCAATCCACACACACTTTTTTTTATTTCTTAAAACTATGTGCATCCTGTGTTTAAAAAAATTCATTTTAATAAAATTACAAGAAACACAAGAACCACACTAACACATCCATTAAAAATAGTATATTTTTTTATTAATATTCTCCATTAAAAAGTTCAGAAGTTGGTAAACACAGATAAATGAAGTTACCTTGACATGTGTTAAAGGTGCTTATTCATGAAGCATTAAAAAAAAATAAAAAAAAATGAATTACTAGAATTGACACCACAATTCTGTTTTTGTTGTTGTTGTTAAGTGCTTGACAGTGAAAGGGCTATTATTGTAAATAAAACACCACAATTCAGCATGCAGTATTGGCACAAGATTTAGTGTATGTGAAATATATACTAAAACTATAAATAATTCTTTAAAAATGTTATTTACATGTTACACCCTTTCAACTATGTGTAAACGTTTTATTTTAATGACTTCTTGACAGGTAATGTGTCAGGGGTGATGTATTTTTGGGGGCAGTGGCGTACTAAGGGGGGGGTGGAGGGGGCTGTCCACCCCGGGTGCCAACAGGGTGGGGGTGCCTTGGGAGGGGGCGCCGCCAGGAGCGCCGGCCCCCCTCATGCTGCAGCCGCCCGAGCGCAGCCTGAGGAGAGGGGCTGACAGGAGGGAAGCACTCAGCGCTCCCTCCTGTCACTCCCTCCCTGTAGCGTGGCCGAGCCCTGTATCATGGTCCGCAGGTACAGGGAGCATCTCTCTCCTGTACCCAGCCGGACTAACAGGAAGTGCACTTCCTATTAGTCCGGCTGGGTACAGGACACAATAGCTCCCTGTACCTGCGGACCAATAGAGGGCTCGGCCACGCTACAACTGAGGTAGGGGGTGGGGGAGAGGGAGAATAAGGAAAGATGGGGGGGAGAATAAGGAGAGATGGGGTGGAGAATAAGGAGAGATGGGGGGAGTATAAGGAGAGATGGTGGAGAATAAGGAGAGATGGGGGGAATAAGGAGAGATGGGGAGAGAATAAGGAGACATGGGGGAGAATAAGGAGAGATGGGGGTAAGGAGAGATTTGGGAGGGGGGAAGGAAATTGGAGAGGGGGGATAAAGAAAGATTGGGGGGAGATAAAGAAAGAAAGAAATTGGGAGGGGGAGAGAAATTGGGAGTGGGGAAGGAAATTGGAGGGGGGATAAAGAAAGATTGGGAGGGGGATGGGGGGGAGAGAAGGAAATTGGAGTAGGGGGGGTTGGGGGAGAGATTGACATTCATCACACACAATGCACAATGGGGGTGGAGAGATGGGGGATAAGGAGAAATGGGGGGAATAAGGAGAGATGGGGGAATAAGGAGAGATTGGGAGGGGGGAATAAGGAGAGATGGGGGGAATAAGGAGAGATTGGGAGGGATAAGGAGCGATGGGGGATAAAGAGAGATTGGGAGGGGGGAAGGAAATTGGAGAGGGGGGATAAAGAAAGATTGGGGGGAGATAAAGAAAGAAAGAAATTGGGAGGGGGGAGAGAAATTGGGAGGGGGAAGGAAATTGGAGACGGCGATAAAGAAAGAAATTGGGAGGGGGAGAGAGAAGGGAAATTGGAGTAGGGGAGAATTGACATTCATCACACACAATGCACCCTTGCCTGAAAAACACACAATGCATTACACACACGAACAGACACACAAGCAATGCAACCGTTACACACAATGCATCCCTTACACACACAGAAACACACAATGCATTCATTACACACACTCAATGCATCCCGTACATACACAGAAACACACCTTGCAGCCCTTACACATACAAACACAGATTCACACAATGCATTCCTTACACACATATCAGGACATCCCCTACACACTCCACTCCCTGTGAACAAACTCATTAGTGGAACATGAAGGTGGACCCTGGGACGCAGACCTTGAGCTGTGTAAAGGGCCCCCAAAAAATGGAGCTGCTTCCCGTTCTCCCAGAACACTGATTTTTGTGACCACAGTTACAAACTGCCTCCAGAGAGCCTGTTCTACACCAGACCAGTGAAGCCAGACTGCAGCTAGAGACCATCATCATCCTCATCTGGTTGTAAGTAGGCAATCTAGTATATTATTCGTGGCACTAATCTCTAATTTACCTCACATTAAAGAAACACTATAGTCCCCAGAACCACTGCAGCTTAATGTGCTTTTTTGGAGGGGGGGGCAAGGGGGGTGCCAAGCACAGGATCCGCCCCGGGTGCCAAATGCTCTAGCTACGCCCCTGTTTGGGGGTATGTTAATTCCCTGTCATAAATGGGTTAATTACAAAGATATCTGACCTATGTTCAACAGCAATAACGTATGTCATGAACTGACCCTAACCGCAATGAAACAAACGCAATTGAAAACATTATCAAATTTTATTGAACGTCAACTAAAGACAATATGTTAGAACTCTTTGTAGCCAAGCCTCCTGCGATCAGAGGACAATAAATAGGCATATTGTTGTACAAATCACTAGTCTGCCGTGGCAACTTTAATAGATCATAGTAAAAACACTCTGTACATGATGATGATAATTTGAAGAGAGACAAAAATGAGGTACTTTTGCAAAAATACATCCTGCTTTATGCCATTTTACAAACATATTTCAAAGGCAGTGTGGCAGTACTCTGCTGAAACTTTTCGTAGTCAGTTAAAATGAAATTCAGAGTTGTATTCGTTTTTACCTCCGAAAGTACTGGGTTCAGTATCTCTTTATAACCTGACATGCTTGACGTGCCATTGGTTCAAGGAACACTCCAATGTACAAAGTGATACTATGTGTTAACATTGAAATTGTTCCCTTTACCCTATAAGAGCCAGACACTCTCCCCAAGCTAAAAAGAAATATTAATCCACTTTCATTCAGTGTCGGATCCTCTTATCGCTGCTCTTCTCCACCCTGCGTAGACTGTCTGGACTGGCAATTCCCCCTTCTGTCTGGAAGAAAATTGGCACATGGGTGGCGATTGCCATGAATGCACCAATTAAATGTTGGGATTGCCTAACAGAATGGCTTCTGCTTCCCTTTGAAAGATCTTGATTTCTGCTTGAACAATTATGCGAGTGTCAACGTGGGGGTGCTCCCACATTGTTCCAAATTTATACATAAAAGTGCCAGTTTCTCCTGCAATTGTCACTTTTATGAATTGGAACAACGAGGAACACAATTAATTGAAAGTGTCATTTTAATATATGAATACATAGATCATATCAGACAAAATAGTTCCTGTATTGATAAATATTTGTATATAATGGGTAACAAAATGAGAATTTGGTGGCAGTGGTATTCCAATGTAACATTTTCCTGTTTGTGGATATGAATGTAGGTAAACATGTTTAAATGCTATCTGTACCTTGTTTACAGGAAACAAAATGTATTAAGCTAATTGAGATACAAACATTTTATGGGCAACAGGTAGTGAGTGTCAGTCATCCTCATCATCACTGTCCTTCATTGAAATCCCTTGAAGTCCTCCTCTATCAGACTCGGGCACTGTGGCTTCTTCCGTTGTGAGTCGACTTCGCAAAGTCTGATAGTTTTTATTATTCAGTGTTGTATCGAGCACACCTTGGAGCCTGAAGTCTCTGTAGGTTTTCTGCATTTACAAAAATCATTAGATTATATTAATAGAATTAAAAACACATTAATGGTAAGCTATCTTTCCTCGTGACAGTCTTTTTTTAATTTGGCACAATCTGAAACAATGAATTTTTTTTTTTTTTTTAAACCACTGAACGTATGAGTAGTCTTTCAGTATTTATAACACTATAAATATAGCAATGGCTCACAAACATGGCACGTACAGGTCAACGGAGGGTGATGTCACAGGACTAGGGCCACCTGGAAAGGGAAATGACAGGATTGGGAAGAAGGGTGTTTCCCAGGAAATAGGTTTTTTAATGGGACACTCCAGATCCATTAAGCACTTTAGTGCCCTATTTTTTTTCCATTTTGTAAAAAATGCAGATTTCTATAGAATTGGACAGTTTATAAATTAACCTTGTTACATCCCCCGGCTTTCACGCAGACAACTGACCTGGTACTTCCTGGTTTGGTTAGCTCAGTGAAGCTAAACTCAAGAGTCAGGCAACTGCCCAGAGCACCTGTCTTAGAAAGACTTCTCATTGAACTGCATTGTGAAGTCTGTGATTGGACATTTACATAAAGCCTGGGCGAGGTTAGTAGGGGAGGGTTTGCAAAGTCTGCAGACAAGAGAACTACAGGTTTTGTAAGCTTTTGTTTACTCCCAATGGAAAACAATGCATAATAAATTGCATGGATGTTTTCATTTAGGGTATATCTACTAAACAGTGTTTTATTTATATTGTGTTTGGGCAGTGGAGTTTTGAAAGTAATAGATTTTTTTTCAAATGAAGTCTCTTTGGTCTTCCATGCTCCACTCCATGCACAGAAGCAGGGAAGACAAGAGACTAACTGTGAGTTTTCAAACACTGTCTGCATATAGCTGAATAACCCAATCATTTATTAAAAGGTAGGGACATGTTCTCATTTTTATTATTTTATATGTACATCATTTAAAAAATATATTTCCTTTCACTAATTAATGAAAGCATTACTATATAAAACAAATAGTTTTGAGGTGACAATTGTCCTTTAACTCACTGCAAAAGAGGGGCCCTCAAATTAGCAAATGGCCTAGGGTTCTGTGGAAAATAAATTAGTCTGACTTGAAGTCATGAAATTATATCACCTTAACCAGATTAAGACAAGAAACTTAACCCCTTAAGGACACAACTTCTGGAATAAAAGGGAATCATGACAGAATATTTCCATCATGTGTCCTTAAGGGGTTAAACCTTTGCTCAGCCATTATCTACATACAACTGAATTCCAAGTAAAATTACCAGATTTTACTATTTACATGATGTAAAGTCATGATTTTATTAAGGACACGGAGGCGAGTATTAGGCTTATCTCTTTCTTTTTATTCATCAGCAGCAAAGAAAGCTAAAGTATTTGTAATATAGAAAAAATGAACAAAATACCCTCACAGGGTTAAACCATTACACCACTATATCCTATCCAATAGGAACAGTCCACATAACATATAGTCCCATGTGACCCCCATCGCTTCCTCTTTCCTGTTGATGCCGAAGCTAATATTTAATAATCGCAATAAACCAATCAACTGAAACATCAGAGAACGTGCAGGTAACTGAAATTCTTGGTGACGGATCCTTCCTAGAGAGAGATGGATCTTCAGACCTGATCCTCTCGAACTGTGGAAGATGTCAATGTTGTCATGATGTCATAACTTTCAGGCTAGAGGGGGACAGAGAGAACAAATGCTAAAATAGGTTCTCCCAACTATTTTCATATTATCATAGTATTAAACCATTCTAAATATAATCCTTTACTATCTGAATCACACATTTCTATGGTTACTGTTGAAAGTTCTGAGTCAGGCATTAAACAACAAAGATTCCACCATGTACTATGAACAACTTCTCACATATCTGGGTTGGGATACAAAAAGTCCAAACTTACCATGTCTGGGTGGGCTAATACTCGCCTCCGTGTCCTTAATAAAATCATGACTTTACGTCATGTAATTAGTAAAATCTGGTAATTTTATTAAAGGACACGGAGGCTCTTATTAAGCTAGTTTAAAGCTGTGAAATAACCGCAGATGAAACATGTTCTGTAGGTCTAAAATAGTATTCTCTAAACGTAGATTCACGGGACCAATCTGCTGTTCTGAGATGGTCTTCCAATCTACAGCCCAAATTGAAAATCTTTGAAGCCATGGTTCCTCTAGTAGAGTGAGTGCTATATATAGATGTATCCACGTCCGCCAAGGTCATTATCCATTTCACCCATCAGGCTATCGTGATCGTGGATACCGGGTTATGAGGCATTTTGGTGGCTAAAAACTAT